CACAAACTAATCCAAATATAAACCACATAAAACCACGTAAGATATTATATTATCAATTTTGGAAAATGATTGAGAGTTGTTAAAAGTCATAGTGGGTTGTTCTCCGTCTTTGAGATTCTTATCTTTTATATTTCGATATTCATAATGCGTAAACAACTTTTTTCAAAGTACGCAAAATAATTGGAAGATTTTGAAGAAATCATTGGAAGATTTTGAAGAAATTAAAATCAAAGTTGAAAAAACTTTCGTGTGAAAGCAGTACAAAGTTCCAATACCATGCACTATAAGTTTGTTTAATCAGTGGTTGTCCAAGGTTTTGTTCATTCGTCGCTGTTCATTGCACTTATCCAGTCTAAGGGCAAAACACCGGAGGATGTTGCTTTGTCTATCCAGACTCCTACCGTAACCAGCGGCGCTTTCGCAATCTTGTCCAAATATCACCCGCATGCAGCGGTGGACATGGTTTTAGACCGACCATCCGAGATCTACCATGATTCGAGAAAGGCAATTATGAACATCTTTGGGTACAAAATTCTCTCCACGAAATATATTGTTGATGATGGTGATGATCATCAAGTCCAGGCTAGATAAATGTGAATTATGTATATGAAGCCCCTTGACGTTCAGTCTACATGATGTCATAAATGTTGTTTTTGATAGCAAGGTATAATCACATTCCTATTATTAAATAAATGTTTATGCTATGGAATTCCATTTAGGATTACTTGACTAAAATTGTGTCCAATATTTCTCTCTTTATTATGGTTCTTGACAGATTGAAGTTGTGATCATCTTCAAGCATCCTCAATTTGAAGAGCCGAAAAATATGTTATATACATATAGATGAGTTGGAAGACGCCAGAGTCAATTACTTGTTGGAATTTGTTGCAACTAACCAGTGCCTCGCATTCTATGATGAGGAGTTAGCTGTCACAGTTGCTGCATTATTGGCTCCAGAATTAGATACAAAGTGGCTGCATTATTGCTTCCAGCGGTTCAACACACTATAGTCACAGAGTTGAACACTCTCAAGACTAAAGTGTTGGCATCAATAAAAGGCAATGTTCATTTCCCCTTGAGACACATCATGTTATTTACATTTCTGTGACATGTTTTGATTTTTTTTTTTGGATGACGCAACAGAGAATAAACTTTTGTGGAACACATAGATTAATCAACTCTATCAACTTGTGATCAATTCTTATCATCTTGTGAATCAACGTTCAAGATGCTACATTAGTTCCAGCTTCCACAACTTCAGTGGTCATTCAGTTGATGAATCTTGGTTAAAAACTGCGTTTGGTACCACAACTATGAATTCTCTATTCAAGTTTTTTTTTCATGGAAATTTTAAAGAAATTATATTTTTTTTCAAATATTCAGGTTTTTTTTTCATAAAAAATTCAAGGCTCCATTTGAATATATTGTTTTTTTTTTTGAAAAAGATTTTGAATATATTATTACAACCATAAGCATTAATTTATTATGTAATTTAGGCGACGTACAATTTTATATAACATCAACGATGGTTGATGCAAAATCTTTTATACTTATTAATTATATGACGCAACAAATTATAATTTTTTTTTTTTGTCGTCCAACAAATTTATAATTGTTATTTACCAAAAAAAATTATAATTGTTATATATATATATATTTTTTTAGCTTTTCCCCTACTTTGATGAGTACACTTGGACGACGCAGACATTTGGGCTTATCCTTATTCGATCTTATCTACCTACGTTGGAGCTTTTCCTCCATCAGATTATTATTAACATCCAATTGAAAAATCAATATTCATGGTCGGCAAAATCTTCCCATTAATCACCCTGGTGACAAAAGTACATTACTATACGTTCCAAAAGAAAAAATATTACTAGAAGTTTTTTCCGTATAAAATTCAAGAAAATATATCACAAGACTTGGAATCTCAAGCGTGTGAATTGTAGAAAAATGAATAAAAACGATAAGAGATATTATTTGATAAATTGATAGAGACTGTTCCACTTGCTAAGCAAATATGATGAAATATCTCTTATTCGTTGACCCTCTGACTCATCCAAAATCTAAACTAGAAGTGCGGATACACACACACGACGTCGGTTTCGTGGTCCTTTTCGTTATTTTGGGAATCTACACACTTCTTGCCGTTTATACACATACAACTTAAAGAATCTATACACTGCTTGCCGTTTTTGTTACTTACCCTCTTTGTTCACAAGTTTTTTG